GTGGGTGGGTGTGTAGGTAGGGGGGGGGGGGGGCGTGCGCAAGTGAAGGAGCAGGTCAGCGGGGGAGGACAGTGTGCAGCAGGGCTCAGTGGCAGTCCTGCATCCACCGCGCCCACGCTCACCCCTGCTCACCTGTTGCCACCGTGCCTCCATGCGCTCGTCCATGTAGCTGTCAAAGGCCAGGCTGGTCCCGCGCAGGGAGGTCTGTAGGCCGGCCACGGTGAGGGCCTGGCCCACGCGCTCCACATAGTGGCCCACGCTGTGCGCAGCCTCCGGCGCCAGCAGGTCCTCGGGCCGAGGCTTGAGCTCATAGCTCTGCATCGTGCGGCGCAGCCTGCAACGAAGCAGGTGAGGGGAGGTTTGTCGCAGGGGGTGCACTGGCCGAGCGACCCTTGCTCCTGCACAAGTGATGCCCTGCCCAGCCAGCACTCCAAGCGCTCCCTTCCCCACTCCCAACGCACAGCGCGGGGTCCAATCCCTCCTGTGCCAGGAGTCGATCGGCATCCTGCAGGTAGTCAGAGCCTCCCGGTCGGATCGACTTTGCGCGCAGCCGCTGGGAAAACTGCTCCACCTGGCGGATGTCCCTCTCGATGCGCAGTGGGAGCCCCTGGTCTTGCTGCAGACATGGAAGCAGGAGAAATACAGACCGATGAGAACATGGGCGCCGTGTAGTTGAAGGGGCACAGGCGCAGATGCTCGTGAGGCAGCGATCCACACGCACCTGGCGAATGAGCTGCTCGCTCTGCAGGAGCAGCTCGTTCCAGGCCGGCTCTCTGGTCATTCTGGGCAAGGATCCCTGCGGACTGAACCTCGACGATGTGGATCCTCGCGATGGGCCTGGGAAGGTGTATAAAATCGCCCTGCTCTGAGGACCGTACTGAGGCACACTTTCAAGGAGCCCTCAGACTGAGCCCCCACTCGCGCAATACGATCTATAGCGAGGCGATCAATGGATCGAAGGCACGATTCCCCTGGAGGGCAAGGGCACGCATGTGTTTCAGAGATTGCAGCGGAGGGCGATCGGGTGCAAGGCCCGGCATCACGCGCCCGAGTTGAATGTCGGGGGCGCCAAGGCTGCTCTCCCCCATCTCTGCTTGGAGTTGGAGCTTGGGCAGGAGCCTCTGCATCTATGTGCCTCTCATACACACAGGGCCACTGCAGACCCTTCTTTTCAAGCCGTCATTCCCTCCATCTTCCCCAGCAGGAGCAGGCGCGTCCTGCGCGCCAACTCCTCCATCTCAGCGCCGCCTTCACCCCCCTGCAGCCTGGTGAGCACCGCGGCATGTAGGGCGGGCAGCAGCTCCGCGGCCTCCGACATCAGCTTCCCCTCCAGGGCCCGCAGCGCTGGCGCCAGCGCGCGTCCGGGGAGGTTGACCAGCCTGTGTGAGGGAGGGCATGAGGATTGAAGGGGAGGGTGGGGGGGCCCTGCGGACCCATGGCCAGGGTCGCAGCCACGTGCATGTGCATGGCACCTCACCACTCAAGACCCCGTGCCGTCCATGGTGCGCAAGACCTCGACCTCCTCCGCTCGCGCGACTCACTTGCTGGCGTGTGTGGCGAGGAGGAGGGGCACGGCCACGGCGAGGACTGCGGGCCCGTCCCCCGGCTCGCAGGCCGCCAGCCGGGCCTCCAGCTCGGCGCTGTGCCCCGCCAGCAGCTCCTTCTCGCGCCGCTTGTCGGCCGCCCGCAGCCGCAGGCCCTCCTCCCGGCCCAGCTCCTCCAGCGCCGTCA